TGTCCTTATTGTAGGTAGTAAGGAAGAGTAAAATGATCTCAAGCTGAGAAGTAAAAGAAAGCAATCTAGGAAATGCAAAACTGGAGCTCCTAAACATTCAGTTTTTAATTATATCAATTTCAAAGCAATCAACACGCATTGGGTGTCTGTCTGTCAGAGGTGCTGCCCTAGGCACAGACAGGTAGGGAGAAAGACACTGGAGGAAGAAGTCCACACCTACATGGACACTCTTTGGGAGGAAACCAAAGTGCCATGTGATTGGGATTATAAACTGGGAACATACACTGTGCTATGGAAACACACATGCGGAAGCAATTTATTCTGCCCCCAGGGTTCCCAGGAAGCTCTGCATCGAGTGACTGGACTGACCCTGGCAACATAGAATAATAGGGTGGTGCTTGCAAACCCTTTCTGATTGAGACTTACAGCACAAAGTCTACATTACATAGATATCCTGAGCATGCAAAAACATGCCTATTTAGACAAGTTTTACAAAACCAAACTTTATAAAATAATACTGTGTGATGCACTCATATATTTTCTTCTGTTTCCATGATTTAATTTTATGTTTTTCTGGTTAATCCTCACCTGAGGATATTTTTCCATTGATTTTTTTTTAAGAGAGAAACATCGTATGTGAGAGAGACACATCAATTGGTTGCCTTTCCTCACCCCATACCCTGACCACAGGGGTGAGAGATTGAGCCTGCAACCAAGGCACATGCTTGACTGGAACTGAACCCATGACCATTTAGCCTGAGGGCCAACACTCTATCCACTGAGCCAAGCCAGCTAGGGCTGTTTCCATGATTTTAGATACTGGTTGAAACTGATTTACCTGAGCTTCCTTGATCAATTAATGGATTGTAAACTCACATTAGGAAATCCTGGAATAGAGCATGGGCTTTGGAGTGACACGAAACTGGTTTTAAATCCTGGTAAGGACAACCCGTAGTCCTGAGATTTGGGCAGTTGGTTTAACTTTCATGAATCTGAATTTCAATGTCTATAGGAAAAGTGTAAGTAGCTACTATCTACTTGATCAGGTGGTTGTAAGGGTTAAAGAAGGTAATATCTCTAAACAGCTTAATATAGTGAAAGCTCCATAGATGGGTCAGGTAAAGAGGTGGGGTGGGGGACATCTAGGCACACTGACTGGTTTGGTAGAATTGTCTTACCACCCAAAACAAGGTAAATCCTGATGACTGATATGCCTGAAAGTTTACATACAGAAGGAACAAGGTGGAACTGAAAAATAAAATTGCTTAGCAAGACTCTGTACCCAGGAAATTGTGTTTGTATTTGCATGTGAATTAGTGAGTGTATATGTACACACTTTGGTGTGTGAGTCTGTGTTAGTAGGTGTGTTTGTGTGTGTGCATGAGTGTGCTTTCATGAGTAAGTTGGGTAGATAGTGATGAGTCTGGTGTAAGTACAGGGAGTGAATTTAATTGCCCTTTATTCAATAATCTCTTAAGCAATCACACTAAGCTTTTCTCAACCCCCTGAGACCCTCTTCTTCACAACAGACCACAGCCTCTTGACACAGCTGCCTCCCCTTTCTGGATTTGTACTTCCTCACATATCCTCAAATATACTAGACTGGGTGAATAAGCTTTAAAAAATATCTTGGAAAAGTGGTAGAACTCTTTTTCAAGCATAATCTTCAGAGGATACTGCTATTGAATCATGGTCGTAGAGAGTGAAATAGAGATTAAAATATATAGTGATAGCTAACATTCACTCGCACTTAGTCTGTTCCCAGCTCTAGGCTGAATGTTCTCTGCTTTATACTCATGGAAAACACATGGCATCGCTATAATCTGTTACTATAATCATTATCCCCATTATACAGGCGACTTTCTCAAGGTCACAAAGTTACAGAGTGACAAGGCTATGATTCAAATTTAGATGCAAATATATATGAGTACATATCTCTCTGCTACCTCTTTGCAGAAACCCAGAACTTTGGGGACTGGGTTTGGAAAACCCCTATCTCTGAGTCTGCATTTTTGCTCTAGAAAACAATGACTTTATCAGTGACTGTATGAGGCCATACATGAACAACTAACCTCTACAATTCTTTCCCATATCCAAAGATATACATACACATATACACACACCCAGTAAATATACATATGTTCACATAAACAAATATTTATATATGTATTTTATAAATGAATATATATTTACATATCTGAAGACTCTATGTAAAAGATTAAATATCACAATCATGTATATGAATAAACTATATGTATGATGACTATATATGATTTATAAATACGAGACATATGAGTATATATTATGTATATAAATTAGATATGATGATGAAGTAAATGAACATTGCCATAATACCCACATCAAATGCAGTGAGTCCTTGACACAGCCAGGACACTAACCAATGCCATTTCCTCTGCACCTTAGGACCCCCTGCCTCTGTCTCAGCCAAACCTGGGATGTCATCTTCATACCTAATCAAACTTCTGTTTTGCAAGCAAAGGTGAATTATAAATCTCAGATAACAGAGCAACCCTCAAGCCCTACTTCTTGATACCCCTTGTCATTTCTGCAGTTCACTCTAATTCCAGGGCAGCATTCTGAGATACATTAGAGACCATTTCCTTTCACTGGAACCCATGCCTGACTACAGGGGAACACAGTTGTTCAATACAATGCATTTTTAGTACTGTGCCTTGAAAGAGGATTGGAGGAGGACGACGACATTAATGTCTTCCATGTGACTCTGAGAGCTAGTGGTTCATTTCCTCTCTGTACTTTAAGAAGATGTTGTGGTTAAAGAGTTCATTAGGCTCCCTGTCAAAAGCAACAAAACTGTGGCATCCATGGATTTTTTCTGACAAAAACACCTTCTACTCCAACGCTCCCTCTTGGCCCAGTTTCTGGTCTCTGATTGGAGTCCATCCTCCATAAAGTCTCCTTACAAAGGGCAGGGGGTCTTTCTCCCAAATGCGCTGGATTCCGGGAGTCACAGATGGCATTTGCATTGATAAGCAGCCTGTGATTCTCCTATTGTGGCTGCAGTGAGTGGGGATGGAGACTGCAGCTAGGCAGCTGGCATGAAGAGCACCCATAGGAGAGGCAGGGTCAATAATTCACCAGGGTCCCCTTACATATCTTTCTTACACGAAATTAATAAAACAACCTGTCTTTTTCCACTTTATGAATTAGAAACGATTGAAAAAATGTATTTGAACCTCCAAAATTGCTGTTTATGGCTGTGTCTTTCTTACAATATTGTTAGGAGGATAATATAAGCAAGTGTGTAAAGACTTGGCACATTAACGGGACTTCTATCCATTACTGTCTTCAGTCCTCTCCCTCCCCACCCATAGTGCTTTAGTTTCCAGGGACTCTCATTCAAAAACCAGATGTTCTACTTACCACTATTGGACAATAATAGCAGGTAACACTCGCTAAGCCCTTACCACACGCCAGAATGAGTCAAAATACGTGCACTGGTTTATTCATTGCCTTATTTCATCCTCCCAAACACCTAAGAGGTAACTACATATTTGCAGAGAAAAATAAGATGTAACATGAATTGAATGCTTACTGTTCTTAAGTAGTACATCACTGTCCTCACTTACTTCATCCTCAAAACATTGAGCAACAAGTGCCATTATTATTCTCAGTTTTAAAGCTGAGATGGCTTATGTAATTCACCTAAAGTCACAGAGTAAGTGCTGGAATCCAGACCCACGCAATGAGGTCCCAGAGCTTTCCTTGACACTCCTCAGATCATGGTGCCTCTCAAGACCTAGTTACCTCATTCGTAAAATTGGACCGAGAGCAATGGTAGCAATTAAACAATTGTTGTAATGATCGAAGAAGATAGCAAACTTAAAAACACTTCACAAATGATGACATGCCAAGCATTAGATATTGTTATTATGGGAAATATCACAGTAAAACCATAAATCAATAAAGACAATTGTTGGGCACAGGATGCGTTAATTGCAAAGGAAAAGACAAGGCAAGCATTTGTCGAATGTCCACTTGCCTACTATGAGCTATTTTTTAAACTCATGTTACCTCATTTTGATATTTTTATCCCCCATGTATTAAAAAACAAACAGAAGCTCAGAAAAAGTCCAGTAATGTGTCCATATGACTCATCTGGGAAATAGCACAGGCGGAATAAAAAGCCAAGTTTGACCAAGTCTCAGACCGACTGCCTTTCCATTTTACCAAGATGGTTTATGAGAACAAATTTCCCATGAAAATTAGTCATGTGATGTTCATTTTGCTTCTCTTCCTTAAAGTGCATTATGAATGAAATTATGGATTGGAGTGTTGCACTATTGAAAACACAATTTTTTCCCCAAAGAGTTCTTGTTGCCCTGAAAGCCAAATTTCCCAAGCAGGTTACCATCATACATATGTCTCTCATTTTTGGATTTAAGATTCAGTCTCTTTGGATCATTGATTAAAATATTTCTGGACTCCTTTTACATACTTGAGTCTCAGATCTGCTGCTGGCAACTCACCTAAAGACAAATTTCCAGGGCAGGGAAATGAACCCCACATTCAGTTAGATTTCAAGGTTGGACAGAGTCATACATAGGAAGTACCTTAAAAAGTCCTTTGTCCTAGAGCCAAACATTACCTTCAGAACAAAATGAACAAAACGTGAGGTCTTGCTTTTACTATGTGATTACAAGCAAATAATGTAACTTCAAACCCTCCTTTTTCTCATCTGAAAATGGAGTTACTACATCTGCCCTATAGGATTAAATAAAGTGGCGGCTGTTACATAGTAGGTACCCAATAAATGTTAATCACCTTCCCACCAGTTCCCTTCTAGAAGAGAGTTTTGGATTAATGGAAGTGAAGGAAAATACCTTATTTTCTTGGGACCCAGGAGTGACAGGATGAAGATGAGGGCTAGAGAAGGATCCACAGAGAACCGTTTTGGGGTTTAAGGGAGCAGGATATATCCATCAGGATGCCTGATACATACATATCAGGAACTTACCTTCATCTTCATCCCTTTTCCAGTGACTAGGTGGGAACTGTCATGTGCTTGAGCTTGAAGTCATTCTAGGCAAAAACAAAACAAACAAAACATCCTTACTCATAAAAGTGACTTCTGATCTGAATCCCCACTTTCCTTCTTTCTCATTAGATAGGAGTCTTGGCCACCATTTATTGGCAAAGATGATGCAATTTAGAGCAATCAGGAGACAGTCCACCAAATCAAACTTCGTCCAGATTCTTGAACAGCACAAACCCTCTCATGCCTCAGGGCCTTGGCACATGCCTTTCTCCTCTGCTGAGGAGTGGTCTGCTTTCCCCACACTGCTCATGCTCACTGTGTTAACTCATACTCGCCCTTCAGGCCTCATTTATTCAGAGAATTATTCTGTGACTCTACTCATCCCCTCTAAGACTAGTTTGGGTCCTTGCTGCATGTTGACACCCATTTAATATTGTACTGCTCAGCACTCAACACAATTCTAATTCACTATGTTTCTCTCCCAAGTATTTTGCAATCTCGGTGAGAACTTAGTCCGTCTCGCTCACCGCTGTATGGCAGTGCTCAGCACCATATGCAGCACATAACGGGCACTCAAAAGATGTTTATTACATGAGTTCATAACAGAGTGATTGAGTGTGTGAAATTAAATGAGTCACATCAGTGTGATGGAGCAGGAAGAATTCTGCAATGTGAATCACAATGCCTGGGGACCGTTCTTCAGTTTTAACTAGCAAAGTGACCCCGAGGCCACTTTCATTTTTTTGCCTAAAGAAGCTTATACTATTATCTCAAGGGGTTGTGAGAATTAAATCAAGTGCCCAGTGTCTGGTGGATGCCTGATTAAAAGTGAGTTACTTCTCACTGCAAGAGAAATCACTGAAGGGGGTTGTGACATCATCAGGGGTCAAAAAAACCAGCTGAGCAGCTGAAGGTCTTGGTCAAAACACGGTCTCCAGGTCTGCTGATCAGAAAGAAGTTGTTCAAGATTAACGTATCACAAGGAGCTGATTCACAAGGTGGTCATCTGCAGCCGGGGACCTGCGTCCTCACCACTTTTCCCTTCTGCACAGGGACCCTGGATCTGGATGGGGGCCTGGCTGCCCTCTCTTGGTGAGAACGGCCTCTTTTACCAGGAAGGCTCCAGCTCTGGCACCAGTGACGCAAGTCATAAAGGTGATTCATTTTTCAGTTTCCAAGCTTCAAAGCAACATATACGAAGTGCCACGGGCTAGAGAGAGGTGCACACCCTCTTCTCTCCCCGGCAATCGCTTTGGTGTTACAAGGAACCCTCACCGGTATGGAGCTGCTCCTTGACTTTTGTTGGAAATCTGAATGTTATGCAGACACGTGAGCACTCGACCCCGGCCCTGGACAGGAGATTTTGCACAGGACCTGCAAATGGACTGTGTTGGGGTTGTTTTCCACTGAAATACCTCAATAAAAGCTGCAGACACAAAACTGAAGAGTCAGGGGCTGGAAGCATCTGGCAGTTTCTTGCTTGAGAGGCACCTCCCCTCGCTGTGGATTCCAACCATGATACATAAAGGGATTGAAGGCTAAACCCTCAGTAAATCATGCTTCTATGGGGAATGGGTAGGGCTTGGAGGATACCCCACCCACATGGACCCTGGCAGGCCCCTATGAAATGCTCTTTGGCAGCCCCAGCTCATGGGAAAGTGTGATTTCCTGCTTGCTATGGATGCCTGGGAGTCTGTGCTTTTTTTTCTTTTCAGTTATTTCCTGCTCTGCTGTGGGATTTGGAGAGATCGAGAGCTTCTCTCTGCATTTCATGCAGCACCTTTAGTCTGTATGAACCTGTCACAGAGGAGGAGTGTGGACTGCAAGGTGAGACTGAAAACTGAGCTTAACACTCAGCTTTCAACTTACCAGCTGTGTGGCCATGGACAAATCACTTAACCTCTCTGAGCCTCAATTGGCTCATTCTGTAAAAATGTCTCTTTTTGGGGGGTTGTTTTGGAGTTCAAATGAGGAAGCATCTATGACGTGCCTATATAGTGCCTGGCAACCAGGAAACACTGCATCTCTCCATTTTTTTTACTGCTCTTCTTCTTCTTAATGAATAATAGCATTATTTAGAAAATTCATTGTTTTTTTTTTCAAGATGTAAGATGGTTCATCAAGGGCCACTATTCTCCTCTCCCCCCCCACCACAGAGAATATAAGAATATTCCCAATTCTATCCTATATAATAAAAGCCTAATATGCAAATCGACCAAATGGCAGAACTACCGGTGGAAAACCACTTGCTATGACATGCACTGACCACCAGGGGGCAGACGCTCAATGAAGGAGCTGCCCACAGCCCGCAGGCCCCAGGACAGCCAAGATGGGTGCCAGTTGCCCCGCAGAGGGAGGCGACCCGTGGCAGCAGGGGACGGGGCTTGCGAGTAGGCGGCGCTAGGCCAGCCAAGGCAGGTGCCAGTGGGGGCCCCCCAATCGCCCCACTGGTCACCCCATAGATCAGCCCAGATCACCAGCCAGGCATAGGGACCCTACCTGTGCACAAAGTTCATGCGCCAGGCCTCTAGTTATTAAATATATGTCATATTTACAAATTATATATGTATTTTAAATGTTGCACTCCTATCTTTGATTCTCTCTTCTTCCTCAGGGAAAAACAACACCTTATTAGGTGGCCTGCCAACTTATGAGACCAGGAATGACAGAAGTGAAATCTTTCAAGATTTGGTTACTTGCATCTCATTTGTAAGACTTTGCCAGATGGCTTACAATAAAATCACATATTCAATGGGATCAATGAACATGAACAACAAGAGAACAGAAGTTGCATGGGTTTGAAATTGAGTCGCTTGCTCAGAAGGCTGGAAAGTCTCTGGTTAGTTGCCCAACCTGCAAAGTCCTCCAAGGAAAGGAGATTAGACTCAGAAGGGGAACAGATCAAGGGAGTGAGGAATGAGGTGTGAAGCTCCCTGATGGAGGAAAGAACATCTCACCCGGATATCCTAAAGTTTATTCTCCTGGATTTCCAGGAAGTAAGAGTATTCACCCCCATCCTCTGAGCCTGAGGATTGGCTCCATTCTCTGAGCCAATTATGTGTTATAATTGACATTACTATGTCAGTACAATTTCCCCAAATTTAAAAACAGTGAATTCAGTGCTCAATGAAAAGATATCTTCTACCAATAGTGTTTAATCCAGCTTACCTTTTCTAAGCTGCCCTGCTAATCTTTTATATAGAAATTTCTGGTTCTCTCAAAGTGATTATGATGTATTGACTGTTGCAGAAATGTTTTAAGACAGCATCCTTAAAATACAGCAAGGTACCATAAGTTGATCAAAGGTAAAGAAAGATAAAAGCCTAAAGGGAAACAGATTCTGAATGACCTTCACAGTTATTAGGAAGGTGCCATAAATTATTTCAAGCATTCCAACAGTCACTGAGAAACAAAAGCAAAATGAGTAAAACAACAGAGATAGTCACACAATTTAATGTCTCTGGAAGAAACTAGTTGGCATATATATGCTCAAGGTACTTAGCATGCCTTCTCCCCGGTCATATCAAACCACTGCAAAGTAGCTAGCATCTTCTGTAACCAGAGTAGGAATCAGAGGAACTGAAGTCTAGCCCAAGGTCCTACAGATGTGTTCTATTTCCAAGTCTGTGTTCTTGGAGGATGTTGTTCTTCTCTGTGCATGGAGAAACCTCAGTGGACATACAACATAGTCCTTTTTAGGACTCATTATTCTCTACTTTCCTTTGCAGAAATTCTAGGGAGAAGGTGTGAGGTTTCAAAGTGGTTATAGTAGAGGAGAGCAGCCAACATATCTCCCAAGTTAAGTGTGTGTGTGTGTGTGTGTGTGTGTGTGTGTGTGTGTGTACTCTCAGCACTCACTTCAGGGTGAAGTTCAAAGACACACAGTTCTGGCCAAGAGCCAAGGCAAAGGTCCCTTTGGGCTGAACTCTTTGTAGGTTCTTGAACAAGTTTCTTAATTATATCATCTCTATGTTCTCTTAAAGGAAAACCTTTAAATCATAAATTTATAGGCTCAAATGAGGCCTTTCCTCCCAATACTATCTCCTATCAGTAGATTTAGGGAAGTCTGGGAAATCATAATTGATACCTGTGTACAGTCCTCCTAACTTTATAGCTCCCTAATACCCTAACTCCTAAAATACAAGCTTTCTTTACACTTGTCAGAGACAGATTTGGTGTTTGTACAATAAATATCGAAGCTTCACTCTGTTTTCTGTTTTTGTGTATTTTTTTTATAACTTTCCAGTATTCTCACTGGGAGAACACTAAATCAATGGCCTGCTTCCAAGGCCTATTTTAGAAGAAGCAATCTAGTGTAAATTTATGATATGGTTGTTGTCGCTTTTAGTGTTTTAGCTGTTCACTATTCAACTCTTTTCTGAAAAACATTACATGTGGAGAATGACCCCTATATCACTGTGTACATTATGTGGCACAAAAAATGGTTCTCATGGCCCATTTCCCTCTGTTGGCTCCCACAAGCAGTCCTCTAGTACAATCAGGAAGCAAGTTATGACCTAAGTCAGTCAATAGCCGTCTTGCTCCCAAGGGCATGGGCCAGTTAAGGTCAAATCATTACAGCAGCAGTGTCAACAGCCCCATCCCTAGTGGTAGGACAGTGACATTGTCTGAGGCCATGGAGACGGAGATAGTATTGATGCTAGATACGGTGGCCTCACCTGAATGTTCCACCAATATGAGTGTGCTGTGTCTGGAGCTTCTCCAACTCCTATTACTTTTCAAGCCTGGGTCTTGGCATTTCCCATTAGTTCTATGAAATACCCTCTCTCCTTCCAACCAATGTGTCTCCTGCTTAATTTGGCCGTAGTCTTTTCCCATTTTTTGTACCTAAACCCTCAAGGAGCAGAGGAACAAGCAATGACTGGATACTTACTTTCCTGTCAGGTTCTGCGTGAGATGCTTTAACCCTAGCTCTGATTGGCTTCCCAGGGAACCTATGAGACGAGTTATTATTGCATTTTACAGATGAGAAGCTTAAGACTGAAAAATTATCTTAAGAAGTTAAGGTTATAGTTTACTTTTT